ATTTAATTATTAAAAATGTTAAATATAATAAAAGTGATTATCTATTATTAAAATAACTATGTTATAGAATATTTGAACCATAACAGGTAACTTTAACTTGAATAATTTGTTTATCTAGTTTGATTATGATGATATAGATTTCCTTTCAAAAAGTTATTCACAGAGAGAGCACCAAAAATCTGTTACCATTTCTAATTTTTATGTATGAGAATATTTAAAAATGACTAATAGCAACTGTGTTCATAGCAGATTTTAAATAAGAAAGGTATAAATGACGAAAGTGAATGGTTGATAATAATAAGCTATCAAGAATATGAGTATAAGATGAATGTTTAAGTATATTTGAATAATAATAAGACAATACTAAAACTAAATATTTGCTATAAATCAAAATTAAAAAGTGTATTGATAAGATAAAAGGTAATATGATAACAAATAGAAATAACAAAAGTAAAATAAAGATAAAACAAAAAAAACAAAAGAAAAACAAAAGAAAAACAAGATACAAACAAATAAAATAAAGTGAACAAAAGAAATAAACAAGAAAAGTTAAAAAAAAAGACAAGACAAAGGTTAAAACCAGGATATAATCTTCTTAATTTATTTCAAGTCAATTCTCATGTTACATATATAGCAAATTTGAGTTATACTGATCTACATATTATTTACATATATAGATTATAAAGTAAAATTAATAAAAATAAAGATCTATAACATGTTGGAACACAATAACTATTATGTAATATTAGAAAGAGGTTTGTATAAAATTTATATATTACTAATTAATTAAGATTAAAATAAAATATCAATAAGATTTAAAATATAAAATAATGTGATAATAGTATGAATTAATTGGTAAATTAAATAATAATGAAATCTAAACTAAAATAATGCAATAATAATGTAAAATAATTGGATAAGAATATAAATTATTGCTATTGGATAAAAATATAAGAAATATAGAAAAGTAAAAATAAAAGAAAAAGTTTAAATGAATATTACTGTGCTAAAAATATAATATGATAAAATTGATGAAAGGTAGAATGATAATAATATATATAAATAAAAAATAATTATAAAAAGATATATCTATAAATAAATATAATTATAAAAAAATTTAATTATATAATATGTTATAATAATAATATATATTATTATATATTAATTTATAATTTAAATATAAGCTATAATTTTAATTATAAATATCAATTATATTATTTAATAAAAATTATAAGTTTATTTAGTAATAATTAAAGTATTTTTATTTTTATAATTATAAAATTTTATTATAAATTCTATATTTCTCTTTGAATATTTATTATTAATAATAATTATTTTATATCAAATTATAACTCTTATTTCTGACTATAACTTTGTTTAGAATTATTATTCAAAAATAAATATTTATAATAATATAATTAAAATAAATTACAATTATAATAATTAAAAATATTTTTTAAACTTAAATAACTTTTTGAATATTTATTTGTAATTTTAATTATATTTTATAACTTTATTTAAAAGTTTATTAAATATTTATTTGAACTTGAATCAAATTTATAATTAATTTTAAAATTTGAACTGAATTTAAATCAGATTTTTAATTGAATTCAAATTTTTGAACTAGACTTTTGATCAAATTCAAATCAAATTCAAGCTCAAACTAAATTAAATTTTTTTTAAAACTCTAATATAAATTATATAAGTATATAATAAAAAAAATAATAATATTAGACTATTTCAAGTTTAAAATTAAAATGATATTAAAGATTAAAGAGTATTTTTAATTTTAAACTAATAATTCTTAATATTTAATTTGTTAATAAGTAAAATATTATTTATATATTAAATTAAATATTACTAAAATATCAAAAATATTTTTATAATTAATACAAAATAAATTAAATATTTTTTATTTAATTTTTAATTTTTAATTTTTTTATTGTTTCATATTTTTTTATTATTATTTTTATTATTTTATATTTTTTTATTTATTAAATAATTAATAATATAGATTAAATTAAGAAATAAATATAATATTCAATAAAAATATAAATAAATATAAATTAATAAAATATTAAATATAAAATATAATCAAATTTCTCTATAGTTGTTACTTTCAGAAAAGCAAAATTTGGTGACTATAGAGAAGATGTGACTATAAAAAAATTTTTTTATTATATTTATATATAAATGAAAAAGCAAAATAGAATGATTATAGAAAGATATAATTATAAATGGATATTATTATAAAGAAGTTTAACTATAATCAATAAAAATTAAAAAATTAATTGTTTAATAAAAAATACAAATAATAAAATATACTATAATATATTTCTTTATATAATTTTTAAGCTTTATTTAAGAAATATTAAAATTAAAATAAAAAAATAAAGAAAATAAAAATAAATATCTATTAAAAATATAATAATTAATAAAATAAATATAATATTTATTAGTTTGAAAAAGTTATTAATATTCATAATATAATAATAATTTTAAAAGTATTGATATATTTTAATAATCATAAAATCTTTTTGTCAATAATTGATAGTAAAAACATTTTCTTGTATAATCTTTGAGCTTCAGCATTTTTCATTTATTGATTTAATCTAAATATTATAATATTTATTATTCTATCTATTTTAAAGAGAACAAAAATAATAATATAATTTTTATTATTTAAAATATCTGCATATAAGATTAATAATTCTTTTTTTACTAAGTAAAATAATAAAACTTCAAGTTATATATTATTAACAATTACTTTTTAAATTTCTTTTATAATTATTTTTTCCAAAGACAAATATATATTTTTAGATATTGTACTTGAACTAGATAATGCTTTTATTTCTTCTAAATATTATATTAAACTATCAATATTTATTTTAATTGAAAATTTAAATTCAAATTTGGTTACTTTTGCTTTTAGAGCAGAAAAAAATTAAATGACTTTTGTAAATAAATTACCTACTAGTTATTGTATTTCTTCTGGAACTTGATTATAATTTATGAATATATATAGTTAAACATATTGAAAAAATATATAAGTAACTTTTATTATAATAAAAATATCTATATTATTAGTAAAAAATATTCAAAAATTATTATATCGAAAGTTTAAATTTACTATATTAAGAGTTTAATTAGTTTTTATTATAATAAGAATTACTATAATAAGAGTTACTTGTATATATATAGTAACAATCAAAAATAATGCAATGATGTCAAAATTTATTAATTAAATATAATAAAATATGAATTTTTCTCTTTATATAAAAGTTTTCAATTTTACTAATAAATATTTTTTATTTTTATATTAAAATGAAATTTTTAATATATATTTTTTTCAGATTTTTTTTATATGTTTAATTATAAAAAAATAATTGATTTTATATGCAATTAAAACAGATTAAATCTAAAAAATCTGAAAAAACTATATGTTAAAATATGTAATATTATCTTTATTTTAATGTAAAAATAAAATATATTTATTAGTAAAATTGAAAACTTTTATATAAAGAGAAAAATTCACGTTTTATTATATTTAATTAATAAATTTTGACATCGTTGCATTATTTCTGATTGCCACTGTATAGATATGTATATATATATGATATGTAAAATATAAAATAAAATATATTATAAAATTATTAAAAGTAATTATAAAAATTATTGAAATTATTGATATTTTTGTTATTATTAATATTGTTTTTTCAAGTCTAAATAAGTGTTAGTGTAAAAAGTGAAACATTCAGAATTGCAATATAAAAATAGATAGAGATGTTAATGGCATCCGAGAATATTCCTTCGGGCTTTGCTTGATGGAATCATGATCTTGTCATAATACATCTTCATGCAGAAAATAATAACTTTACTTGGTAATACTTAGCATTAGCGTTAGTATTGATTATTATTGATGTGTTACAATCTATATATTTATGTAATAGCTTGATTTAGATTCTTGTTCTTACGTTAACAATCTCACAATCGTGTGTTGGTAACACATGTGGCGTTTGAACAATTCATTATTTCATTAATAAAATTAATAAAGAATCTTTCAGTTTGTGTCTCGAAAATATAACGAACATTCATCATGGGTTCTAACATGTTAAACTACTCTGGAGGCCTTGTTGGTCTTGTTCTTGTCAGTGTTCTTTGATGTATTTTCTCGTTTCTTGTTCTAAAAAAAAAGAAGAGGAATGACTGCTGTTTTACCTGTGCTTATTTTTATGTTGTTGCTGTATTCATTAGCTCATTCTGGATATTGTTGCCATTCTTGAGGTATTCCAAAGTAACCGCACTCCCGGTGGAAAAATTTTGTGGTCCATTTTGATTTTCTTTTTCCCCTTCTTTGGACTTATCTTCTATTTGTAAGTATCGTTTCTTTATTGTTATTAGCATACATAGGGATAATATCATTTGGAAGGAGAGAGTCAAATACAAAAAAAATTTTCTATAAAGCAACCCCGACATGACAATTGCGACCACTATCATCTTTATATTTAAAAAAGCTGTATGTGCTTCGCAAGAAGATCCTGTGTTATGCAAAGGATAGGTTAAAGTCAACAGCAAAATAGAATTTTAAAGATCATAGAAAAAGAATACGCTCATCAAAAAATTTTCCCCGGACAAAAATCAAATATATTCGTTATAAAATTTTACATAATTAACAAACTTGTACTTCTTCCTTGTTTTTTATCAGCTTCTTCTCCAACCGAAACCAACATTTCCGTTACGAGCTTTTAGCATGATGATAACCGAGGGATCCTTGATTGAGTTCTTTCGTGTTATACCATATTTCTTATTTAATGTGTATTGGTTTCGCAGAGGTTAATTATATATATAGTTTCATTTTGCTTAGCGCTAGTGCAAGGTTATGAATTAATAAAATTTTATCGTTATATATGCAATGGTTTTGAGACATTGAGTTGCACGTGAATTATTAATATTTTTTTGCGAGCATGATTTTACTATTCCGAAATGTCAAAAACAATAAAAGATGTACCGAAAGAAGCACAACCATATATGCGGCTTCGCGCTCTAGTCGACTCTAAGAAATACACTTTAAAACAATTCTCTGCTGAGTGGGCTCTTTACCATGCAGGTCTTCATTGGCAAGAGGGGCTTTTACTATACAGTAAAATTGCTGTTGTCGCCCAACCTAGCAATGATCCTTCTACTTCAAAAGAAAAAGACGAGAATCAAGCGCTTTTAGATAGTTCTCTCGCGTACTTATTTAAAGCTATAATTTTATCGGAAAACATTTCCTTTATCTCGGCTTCGGCGTATCTTGTTCCTTCGTTATTCCTCGAGGAGAAACCGTTAAATACACAAATCGGTCGTATTATACAAACTGTGAGTGGAATTGGATCACATATTGGCGCAATGCCTGATGCCAAATTCACGTCGTTAATGTGGGAGTTACTAACTAAACTCGAAGTAATTGAATGATTAATCATCTAATTCAGATCTTTTATTGTGAGGTTCACTATTACTAAATGATTTAATATTTTGTAACTTACACAGGCAAGTGATACCGATATGGAACAAGCATTGACTCTCTTCACCAAAAGTATAATGTCTATATTTTTATGGGCAGAAAGTATAAAACTAGAAGAACAAGTACGTTTATTCCAACGTGGGATAATATTTATCGCTGCTATGCGGAAATTATTAGCCTTGAAATTACCAGATTTTATCGCAGGATTCGCAATTCAAGCGTTGAATGGGATCCCGGTATCGACTGTGATAGAGGGAAAACCATTGCCAAGTTTGACGGCGAAAACACAATTGTCGGATACTGTGCGTGAAAAGATTCTGAAAAAAGCTATGGAAAATGAGAACTTAAGTTTTTTGTTGAGCCTAGAGTTAATTTCCGTAATGTATTTTCGATCAGGTTCTGTGTTGTTAAAGATGGACGGGGTGAAGCCTGAGGCTGTGAAGGTTACTTTACAATGGGCTCTTGATTTATTGGATGCAAGCAAAAACCCGGAATTTGCTATATCTCCGTCTTTATCTTCATCTAAAACAATATCAGTCGAAAACGATAATGAAAATAATAAAGACTCTAATCTAAATTCTACAAATAAACAGTCACCATCTTTAGTTTTATCTATACCTATTCACACACTTTATCGGTCAGATTATTTATATTATCTTTGTGGCGCGATATTTAATCTTAAACAATACCAACAAGCAAAATGGAAATATCTAGACGTGGCAAAAGCGGGACGTGATCAAAATCGTGTGACAGCACTCGAGGCTTTATACAGTGTTCCGATGTGTATTGCTTTGGGTGCTGATAGTGTAAAAGATCCAACAACATTTGACGTGGAAGAATTTCGAAAAGCTGCCAAGGAACCCGATTCATTGTATAATGAGTTGAAGGAGGAAGGCATTTGGTTGGAGATGCTCGAGTCTAATCAGAAAAATTTGGTAAGCTATTTTTTTCTCGTGTGACAATTAGCAAATCAGTCGAATTGAAATAATCAACCATTTATTAACTGAATTTTAGATTATACAATTACTTGAATCTCTACCGGAAAAAGGATCTTCCCCGATATTATTAATGGAAGGGACAGACTCTGATGAATCTCGAGATTTCTCTTTTTTGCCACAAGATTCTATATCATCAGAGCAATCATCACCATCAAAAAATAATTCGAAAAAAAATACGACTTCAGAAACTTTAAAAAATGTCGAACAAAATTCAAGGATAACACTTGTTAAATGTGCTCATTGTCAAAAAGCGGATCCAGCTATGCAGTGCCCGTGCAAACAGGTAAGATATTGTGATTCGTTGTGTCAAAAAAGTAATTGGCGAGTTCATAAAAGTGTGTGCACACATCATAGTAGCACTAAGAATAAGTGAATAAAATAAGAGACAAGACTAAGATTGTACTTTTTAATTTGTTTGCACTTTTAAAAAGTAGTTTACAAAGGAAATGCGCCATCTATATAAGGGCATGCAATAAAATGTATTAGATTATTCAAAGCTTGTATATAAGTTTTAGACTTATAATTATTTAATTGATTAAATTTTTCGTTTTTAGATAGTGTATTTATTTGAATTTATTCATTATTGAATTAACAAATATTATATAATATAGAAATTTTAGAAAAAACATAAAAAATATTTGTTAATTAAATTGTTTTGTATAAAAATTTCATTTTTTTACTTGGTTATTAATAAATATTTTAAACAATTAATTTTTGTTTTATATGATCTGGTGGTGCAAAAAGATTTATATCTAAAAATTAAAATTAAATTGATAAAATAAATAATATAAATATAATTTTTTTGCTAAATAATTCAAGCTTTAAGCTATTTTTTATTATTGTTTTTATTTTATTTTATTATATTTTTTTTAAAAAAATAAATAAAATTAAATTTTTATTATTTAAAGCTTAATAATATACAAGTAACTTGCTATAAATTCAATAAAACTAATATAAAATTTTATAAAAAAATTAATAATTATAAAAATTTTAAATTTTAAAATTAGTTAATTAAAATATAAAAATATAATTTACAATAAAAGCTTTTTATAGTTACACTTATTTATAGTTATATCTCTTTATAGTTACTTTATTTATATATAAATATAATAAAAAAACTCTATAATTTCAACTATAAAAAGATTTAATTATATTATATATAATAACTAAATTAAAAATTATATATGATTTTATTAATAAAATATAATAAAAATTAAAATTTTTGTCTTATATAAAAGTTTTCAATTTTATTAATAAAAATTTTTTATTTTTGTATTAAAATAAAAATTATAAGTTATAATTTAATATATATTTTTTCTGGTTTTTTTTTGACAAAATCATTTTAATTATAAAGTTATTGCAAAAATTTTTTATAATTAAAATATAAAATTAATTATAAAAAATTTTGTAATAATTTTATAATTAGAACAATTTTATCAGAAAAAATCTAGAAGAAATATATATTAAATTATAATTTATAATCTTTGTTTTGATATAAAAATAAAAATTTTTTATTAATAAAATTGAAAATTTTTATATAAGACAAAATTTTAATTTTTACTATATTTTATTAAAATTATATACATAATTTTATAATTCTATTAGTTACTATATATAATTATTAATTATATTATATATAATACTATATTATATTGCATATAATACTATATTATATTGCATATAAAAATTAAAATAAAATTATGTAATTATTAAATTAGATATTCAATATTATATAATATATTTTACTTAATTATATATATCAAATATTTTGAATTGTAAAGAATTTTTTATATAAACTTTAAATATAAAAAATATATTATTTAATAATTTTTGATAAGTATTATTAAATAATATATTTTACCTTAAAGTTTATATATTTTTTATTAAGAAGATAATAATTTAAATAAAAAGTTAGTATTAATATAAAAAAATAATTATATTTATAAATTTAATCAATTATATTCAATTTTATAAGTAATAATTTATAAAAATTTCAATTATAATCTGTAAATTTTTTAGTATTTTAATATAATTAAATAAAATATATTATATATATAATAATATTTTCTATTTTTTGAACTTGTAATTATTTTTTATTAATATTTTTATAATTTTATTCAATTAAATTTAACCACTTATATTTCAAATTATAATATATTTTTAATTATTGGCTATATATTAAAAATAGTTAATTATTTATTATAAATTTTTTAATTTTGATTTTGTAATTAATAATAATGCTATTGATAAATGAATATTTTTTTATTATTTATAGTTAATGATAATATTATTAATAAATTAATATTTTCTTTTATTATTTGTATAATTATATAAAAATATTTCTTGATAAAAGAAAAATAATTATAAAATATTTGCAAAAACTTTCTGGTTGAAAACACAAAAAATGTTGCTTTAAACTAAATATTAGTTCTGATTTTTTCATAATAACAAAAATATTATAATTGTAAATTTACTTATATTTGATTTTATATTTTACTGATTATTCTTTTTTGAATGTTTATTATAATTTTTTTGGAAGAAAAAAAGTAATAGTAAATTAATGAATTTCTTGAGTATTATTAGTGAATATTAACTTTAATGAAATATTTAACTAAATCTTTGAAATATAATAATATTAATTGTAACTTGTTATTAGTTTATTTAGTCACCCTTATATATGAAAGATTAGAATTATGAAAATATAGTTCTTGATTTTTATTGATTCATCTTCAAATACGTGAATAAATATCATGTGATATTAATTATAACCAATAATATAATAGATAAAAATGTTGATCCAAAGTTTATTCTTATTCAATTTATAAACTATATTTTTGAATAAGATCCTGGATATTATATACAGTGCTAAACAGTAAGACTGAGTGAATAATATTTTTTGCTCATCTGTTCGATTTTTTTTACTAATCCTTTGGCAATATCAGTTTCGCTGAAATAATGATTTCTCACCGAATTCATTATTATGAGTCAGATTAACGATGATGACCTTAGTTCATTAGACACGGGGTACCCGAAATGCAACGAAAATATTTTATTGACCCCTAAAGCATTCACCACGCTATTCTGCGGACACACGTACATCGAATATGCATTGAAAAAAATCTTTTACTTACAATACCAAACGTGTATCCTACATGCAAGAAAGCCGTTGAAACTCTTGGTATCGAAAGACGAAACCAATACCTATACTTGAACGAATTGAGTGGATCCTCATCTGTAATCAGCGCTATGGAGAAGAATCTCCGAATCAGTTCTAACGTCACGTCAGACGAAACTCGAGATCAAGATATGGTGGACGCGGAATATGAAAATGAAACTCCAAATGATCCTGACATCGATAATACTACCAAATTGGACACTGTTACTAGAAGCACTTTGCCACTTAAACGCATTAGGGAAGAGCCAGAGAAAATCTCCGACGATAAATCATCTAATAAAAAAGCGAAGCATTCTAAGGGAGGGTCTCACATTGAAAACTTATCAAAGAGTTATCCGATGTACCAAAAGATTCGTCTCAGCCACCACCATATATACCCACATCGCAGATTGATACAACAAACCCTGAAGCATTTATTTCTATATATCACAATATTATAAATGCCGAATCGAGAAGTTAGGCGTCATTTACCCAAAGATGTTGCTGACACATCTCTTTGAAGAAAGTAGAAAGTACGAAAATTTACGAACTTTTTATCAATATCGGTGAGAGTAAGATAAGTCATGTGGATCCATGGAATGGACATGCTTCACATGATCTTTTTCTGCAAATTCCATCTCGAAACCTTTTTCCTCACATCTATTCGGAAAAAGAAAAACCAATAGCAATATAAATGATGTAAAGTATCGAATCTAAAATTCCTGGCTATTTTTCTGGCCTCAAGGATATAAGTCCGAGGAGGCGGAATGGGAAGGTTATAGTTAGTGTTAAAAATAATCTATCATATCAACACATGAACTTGACCTCAGGTCAGGAAGTTGTAATTGCGTAGTTCATTGACCGCATATACTGTATATAACATATATTCTTTGTGGACACGTAGCAATCGGATCGGATCAACATAGCTGGTGTACGAATTCTATATGGTCGGGAACATATGACATTTGCAAAAAAATCGTTTTTTACTTTATCAAACTTGGACAATGGGACTTTCGCAGTTAGGAAATATTGAATACTAGTCACCTTGAAGGGTGAGCGAGAAACAAACACAACTTGGGCGATTATCACACAAATCCAACTCGATGATGTGGGTCCTTGCGCATTTTTCAGAAAAATGTTGTTTAGCATCTCAAAAAAAAAAAGAATAATTGAGCCTCACATGTCGGAATATTGTTTTTGAATGCAATTTATTTTTGCATGTCAATCGCTCCATATTATTAATAGAGCATATTTGCTTCCGGAGAATCAATTTCTCGTGTGGTATTGTGAGTGTGAGGTGATGTGTATTAATTTCTCCTTTTTCGGAAGATTGTCCGATCCACGATAAATATCAATTACGGAGCACATGTGTATTCGATATACCAGATCACTATAAAAATGGCCACGTGCTTCACGGATACATTTTATAACAGATGCCTATCTTACTCTAACGAAATAACGCGTAACTCTCAAATAACGATAAAACCTAAGGACACTAAAGAAGCGATTAGAATATGGGTAGATAATGAGAGGGGGATTGAAGAAATGAGATAGTGAAACGAAGAGATAGCTGGTAGCAAGACCAGAGAATACAGGGGCAGTCATCATTGTTTACTCAGTACAACTTGAACTTTGGAGTCCGACTGCCAACTAGTGCACAAGTTTTCCCTCCCATACAATCTCGCAATTATTATTTTTGTATTAGTTGTGTTGTGCTCTCTTAAAGAGCGTTTGCAAATAAGTTTTCGCCTATAAGAGGGCTTTGATTTATTAACACATAATGATAAAGCCTCCAGTAACTGCACATGATATGAGTGAGAAGAAAAGTTGATAATCAAAAGTCGCCACTGCAATGGTTTTAGTTACATCCTTTTTTACAGATATGATCATTTAATGAGGTATGACTATTTTTTATTCTTCGATCTCTTACGTTCTTTCTTCCCAGATCTTCACCACACTAACACTTCCTATGGCTTATCCCTATTCTTCGCCAACTTTTCCTCTGTCGACGTTTAAGTTCCTTCGCGGATACCAACTCGCCAGTGCTCTCCATGATGTGGCATATATTATCGGGATGGAAGAGACCTTCCGCCAGATTAGTTCCCATTTCATTCCATTGAAACATGGAGTCACGATCGTCCAACATCCAAACAACGAATCCAGAATCGTCTACAAACACAGGACGAACACCGGTGATACCGAACGTTTCATCGAAGTACTCAATATCTTCTGAGCGCAACAAGCCTTCGCTCGTAGCTTCACGAATCCCGCGAGGGTCATTCTTTAATAGGTCAAACATCTCTGGCAATTTTGGCAAGGTGGCTTTGGTAGAAGGATACATTTCCAGATCTAAGATAGGAACTCGTTTTTCATAACATTTGGTAGACAGCTAAAAGTAACCGTGTACGGTGTCCATGACCGTATTAGACGTGGATAGGGCATGAAGGTTATCAAAAGTAGAGTTGACGTTTCCTTACTTATTCGTGTGGAATTTACTAATTTCCATTCCAAGTTCTGATTGGTTAAGGATATTAAAGGTTAACTTTAGCGTTAGGGATAGGGTTAGAGTCAAGGGTAAGATTATACATAAAATTGTTTCCCTGAAATTTTTGATTAGTGCTTCAAGCCAGATTTAAGCATTCGTTTTCCGTATATTCGCCGGTTTGATCAAAAATTTATTGGTTAATCTAGAAAACCCGGTGTGCAGTCAACCAATCAGCGATGGAAATTACTTGCGTCCAATCAGAACTTGGGGGTGAAATTAGTAAATGCCTTATCTTCAAAAAACGCAACTATTGCAACATGATCAAATAGTTGAGGACCCATCTTTAGTCCAAGTGTCTTCACGTTGGTTTGGTACGAGCTATGCCTTGTGTACCTCGTCACTGGTCATGGGTATGAATCTCATTAATATTATGAAAATCACAATAACTGATTTTATGTGACATAATATACAAATGTCTTATCGAGAACACTAGATTTAAATTATATTTCTTCTGATTCTAGGAGCAATGTCGAGCATTTTATAGGGAAGTTTGGACTAGAGAAAAGGAGAGGATGAGGATGAGTCTAATTATACTTGTACCTTATACTGACCAAAAAGAATTTTCTTATTTATAACTATACAGCGCCAAGCTGTGGAACAAGAACGTAATGTTAATATAATTCAAGATAATATCGAATTTATGTTAGGCAGATGCGTAAGTAAATACCAGAATTTCTGATTTATTGGTGGTATTTGATGCTAATGAGAGAATTTTATCTTTGGAGATCTAAAATAGAAAATGGTTGCTCAGAAACTACTATGATTGTGTAGACTGAAATTGTTCATCATCTGAACAGTTAGATCTGGCGTCAATCAAACCAGAAGTTACTATAGCATCTATTGATCTTTCAGGAAGTGAAGATCCATTTGCAAATTTATTATCATTGGAGTCTAAACAAATTTTGATGAGCCATACGTTCCATAACAATGAGTTTCCAGAACAAATAAGAATGATGGTGATGATTTCATAAGCACATAAAGAGATCTGAGACCCGATTTTGATCCGGTATTCATGCGACCAATAGCTTTCTACAGGGAGAAATGTCTATTGAAACCAGATGTATACTGATGACAATTTTTGACTTATTAGAAGGACTGTAAGTTATTAGTATAAGCATAATGCAAAGCGAGCTCCTGAGCAGTTAATCCATCGGGGCGATAAATTCAACCTTTCTCTGAATTTTAATACATGGTTGAATCGCCGATTCTTCTGATAGTTCAAGTGAAATTGGTATACATATTGGTAAATGAAATCATTATACAAGGCCAAAAATATTGAATCGAAACAAGTTCAAGGAATCTCGCAAAATGTCAAGTTTTCATAGACGAAGTGAGATCTAACCAATAATCATATCGTAGATTTTTTTCGGCATTGAATATATCAATATTATAAACTAACACAATGTCATCTACGGAACTTGGCACTAACATGCCAGCTTTATTGATACGAATAAAATAAAAGTATATGATAACGAATACGGGATATCGCTATATTTTAGAAATTTGCGATTTTTCTTAAAGTACCTAATAATTTCTCGGTGGAGAATATGTTATTGACATCATCGATGTTGAAGGGTCCGATCTTCAACTACTCACAAAAGATTAATTTCATCTTTCACATCCTCCGTCATTGCGATAATTTTTTCCACCACGAGCGTATTCTTAAAAATTCTTCAATGATCTGACGAGAAGAAATACGTAATGGTATAACCAACTTACAGAGTCGAAGAATTTAATAAAAATCATCTTCGAATAGGTCTAACGCAGAAATAGTCACACGACCTCGTATTACTTGGAGCTTGGTACACTAATCAAAAATATCGGGAAGACAATTTTACATACAAACTTGATTTTAACATAACATCTCTATTACCATGGAATTTTTCCGAACTCACACAAATATCACGTGGCCGAGAATTTTTAGCCATGACTAGAATTTTTGTCGATAATTGGCCTCTTAGAAGAATTAAGAGCATTTAGTGAGAAGGTAAATATTTTAATTATAAAACTTGCAAAGAATGAATAGATATTGGCTTAAAACTTTTGCTCGACTTAACTATTTACTATCAAGTGAGTCCAATGTTGACAATTGGACATAATAAACCGCGATATATTTTTAATTGGACAGCAATGTCACTTGGGTTTGTGCATGACCGTTTGGCTGTGGCCTAATTTAACGTAGCCAAACGACCAAATGCCAACACTGGTCCAAAGGATGGTTGGCTTACAGTTGCATAAGTCAACTCAACGAAAACGTACCGATAAACAATCAAGTTATGTAATAACATTACAGTCAACTCTCTCTAGATGCAATTCGTCGGGACCATATGATTAATAAGGCATTTAAAGAAAGATTGCATTTATGAAGAGTAGTATATTTAAAGGTCTTATAATCTAGGGACTGAGCAAGAGTGTGCACTTATGGAGGTTGCATTTAGGGAGAGTTGACTGTACTTGACAATTGCAACTAGAATTGTTTGTTAATATAAAAATTAATATTATAATCTGATTAAAGGTTATAATTTGAAAAAGTGAATTTAATATCCTATACTAAACGCCAAACTATAAATAACGACAAATAAAATAACCACAATTAGATTCTAATGATGATTGAGCGCTCGATACAATAACGTATTACACTATCGAAAAAATAAATATTATGAAAGCTTATTACAGTAATGAGATTGGGGGAAGAGATTTTGTGTTAGTATAACGAGATGTTATCTTAAAGAGTGTTACTGTAACGAACGCTCCCTGTACCTTGTTTAGAATGTTGCCTCACCTTTGGCAAAGAATCTACATGTTACTCCATATTTTACATCAAGAATATTAATGCATATACATGTACAAGTTCAAACCTAATTTTCGTCAATACACTATATTTTTATAGATGCCCAAAGTAATTACGGCATTTAGTCCTCCCCCCAAATATGTAGAACACTGCTGTGATGCTAAGCAAGTTGTATTGTACGAACCGTAATTTCCGGAAACTATTAATGAAAAAAGAGGTATACGTATATAAGCGATAGGATATTCTAATTTCTCAAATATTTGGATTTAAAGCATAATGCCCTCCCATCTTTTTGTAATAACTCTAGTAATACTATTAGGGTATTGCTGTTTCCTGGATAAAGTTGTTTCCGAGATGTCTGATGATACAGCAGAAATAATGACTAGTTATACAGAAGAAATAAGTGGTTTTCAATTCTTCGGTAGCTATACAGGTAGAGATGGGACAATTCTATTAAGACTGGTTCGAAAAAGTAACAAAATAGCATGTGACTACCCAGACGAACCGCAGATGCATTTTCGAGTTGTTCACCCAACTTGGAAAGTCGATAAAATAGACTTGTCATTGAAGAGCTTGAATATTTCAATTACAAATTTTTGTCCTACAGACTATATATTAATTTATCTTTTGGAGCCAGAAGCTATACTATTCACATATTTTGATTTTAAAACTAAAAATCCCTTTTCAACTAAAACTTATAATGAAATCGGTGTTATTATTTCATACGCTGGCGAAATTTTGACGTACGATAATTTTATTGGGAAAAAATCACGTTTGAATAAATACTAATTCGTTAATTTGCCACACATAGCCAATTTCCTATGGGAGAATCAACATTGAACAGAGACATTGCAGTAAGTGGCAAATACAATGGAGGTTTCTTACGAGTTTTTATGTGGCCAGCAAATCAAACAATAGCTTGGACAAGAGTTTCTACCATGTAAGTAAAAAACAATTTTAGAATTCAAATCAGATTATTATTTTTTATCTTAATTGATTTTCAATAGAATTGAGAAAAGAGAATTTAACGTGCGGAAAGGTATATTTTATACGCCAAAACCTAAAGAAAGTATTCAAAGTTTTACTATTATTCCAAAATTGGATGGAGAATTTGGATGTGCTATTACAACCTTCAATAATGAAGCACTAGATGCAATAAGTTCAAATACGACTAATGTAACAACTGCTGAAGCGATTTACTACTTTAGTTTAACAGTTTGGAAAGTATATGTGACGTTTTTGCTTGTAGATTCAGATCAACCAACCAATTTGTTTACCCTTTATGAAACTTCAACAATTTGGCGCGGGTTCTCAGCGGATTCATGTAGTGTACAATATTTTGACTCAGAATTAGTATGCTTTTTAGTACCAATTTACAGAGACATTCCATTCTATGGTTTTTATGTTCGTTTTACTTCCGAAGGAGCAGTTAATTCAACTCGGGCTATTTGGTTTCACAATATAACTGACTGGAAATTTGAGGCTTTTACGGCTTCGTTTTCAGGAGGTTTCCGTGTACATGGAATGCAAAACGACATAGCAGTAATAGATATCTATAATATTTCGGGGGAATATAATAATACTCTAAAAATTTCTGCTCATTACACTATGTATCCAAACAATAATTGTCTATGGTTCATCAAATCAAACGGTCCGCAAGAATGGCATATAAAGACATTAAAATTCCCAAACTTTATACAATACGGTAAGTTTGTTTTAGATATCATTATCTATTAATGATTCACTAACTGTTATCGTTATTATTAAATTTCATAATTAAGATGAAAGATTTCAGAATCCCGATATCAATACGACAGTCCCTGATATAGGCCAAACAATATCTTTGCGGACAAGAAGTCTAACAATAACATATAATTCAAAAGTCAATTTAAGTACCGGAAACGTCTCCATTTATAAATATGACTCGGATCTTCTACGACAAGAAACTTTTGCGTTAGGGAATATTGCTCAGTACGATCCACTCGTTGGATATACAAACGTTACAATTGATGTTTTTAAGAGTACTTTCAATCAACCAGATACAGAGTATTATGTAATGGTGAATACAGGCTTTGTCGAGCGTCCTGGGAACCATGAGGCGATATATGGAATTGAGAGAAATATCTGGCATTTCAAAACGGGTAAACCTCATTTTACATAAAATTTCCTGTCTTTTATAAATAGACATTAATGTTAATATTTGTTTAATTTAGAGTCCAATTTTAAAGATACGCATGCAGGTATTATTTTGGCTATTTAGTGTAAATTATTATGTGATTTCTTACTTTATTCTTGTTAAACTTAATTATAGATACTGCAAGTGGGTTGTTACGTTTATCAGTTAATGGTACAAATGACTTTGAAACAGCATATTATTCATCGGGAGGTGTTATTATTGAGGATTTGGCAAAACAAATTGCAGAAATCATTCCAGTTTCAAGTTCACGTATAACAATAAGCAATAAATATCAATATGACCCAAATTCACATCCTTCGCAAATTTTGTTACGTATGAGTATTGGGCAAGCAGTCGCTCTTAATGAATCAGATATTCCAGATGTAATTGAAGATTTTCAGGAATTATTAGAATATTCACAATTTAATGGGCTTTCTCGGCAGACTTATACTTCCTGGCTTGATAATACTTACAAGTTTGTGCCAACTGGTACGTAAAATTGATAAACATAGCAACAAGTAATAATTACTCTATGCTGAATCTTTCTCGTAAATTTTTCAATAGATGATTTTTGGAATAGATACAAAATCGCTATTTTTGTTGTATGCGCCGCATTTATCTTGTTGATATCCCTTTATTTATTTGCTCGCTATAAGAACAGAGAAGTAAGCATGTAATAATTTTGTATTTTTTATTTGTTCAACTTTCAACTTATATATATGCAAATTAATAATCTTTCTTTATTCACATAGGCAAACAATTTTGTAATTTTAAATTTGGTGATAATTTTACAAGACTTTGTATTTGACGTGTTATTTGTAGTACAAAACGGACGTGATTTCGAAGTACTTTTTATACCAAGGTTATTGTTAGTTAATGTAAAGGCAAAATATATTCTTCTAGCTATACTAACGCAATTTTTTTTAGTGTTTTAACTCTGATCGTGCCTATATTCTTAAATGGCACAGCCGCCTTGTTTATACTATTATCAGAAAATTCACGAGAAGATAAATTCAATGATTGGTTTCGGAAATTCCCACAAATAGCTTCGATATTTACAATATTTGCATGTGCAGATGTTGAATTTCTCTCAGTTTTATCTTCACAAATTTTTGGACTCGATATTTTTTCAGCTGTTTTTTCAGAACGAGCAGAAAATTTTATTTTCTGGGCCAGTTGTATTAATATACTAATTGAAGATTTACCTCAGTTTATTATTCGTGTATGTTTAAATTTTTTATATTGTTTTGTTTCATTTTAACTTGATCTTAATAATTTTTACCTTCTCAAAAAAAAAAAGCTTATTTATTGGAGACAAAATATCACCTATGATATCTTGCCAAATATAGCTTTAGTCTCAGGCGCGGTCGGTTTACTTGCTGCTGTTCTTGGACGGATGTATCAAATAACCGTTCGATGTGCTCCACGAAAATATCAGAGGACAAGCAACCCAGGAACTACAGATGGATAATAAATAAAGTTTTCTCATTTATATAGTTTCTCATTCTTATGTGTCCGCTTTTTAGTTTTTTACTTGCGTGTTAAATATTTTATGCCAGTCAGTTTATAAATATTAGTTTCTATTGGTTATTCATTATCATTTATCTTTTCTATGGATTGGGAGTTAATTAGGTTGTTATCGGTTCGACTCGGTTCAGTTCTGTTGAAAAATCGCGGTTTGTGATTTGAACCGTAGTTGTCGAGCATGATATTCTATATCGATATGTAGAAAATAATGAATTAGATCAGCATCTGTTTCCATAACGATATTTTGTCTATAACATTCTATACGAATTAACGTTAAAACCAATTGGATTTATTATCATTTCATGTATACCAGCATCTGTTTCCATTCAACTTTTCAAATACAGCGAAACTTGGACTGATTTTGGAAAAAGGTGATTTTGAACCTGATGAGAGTATGTGCAGAAACAGAAAAATGCTTGCTCGCATGAAACGTTTGTAGTTTTATGCTATTGTTGCTAATGTTGAAAATTCACTTTCATTTTAGTTTACAGAATTACATAATGGCAAGACTATTGCAAAACACTCTTTAAAAGACCCAGGTATTTTACATTATAGTTGAACGCATAAACCGGTGACGCTTAATTGTCACTGGTTTCGGCTTAGAGTTGCAAAAACCAAATAATCCTAAACTATAACCTAAACCGTGTGCCAAATAGCATCACATGGTTTAGGTGCCCAACTATAGTTTACATAGAGGTTACACTTACATAATTCAATATAATGAAGTAGAGGAAACTCTACAAAAAACAGCTCTCAAAAGTGGGGATAGTACTTTACATGAAGAGAGGGTACTTTAAAGAGCATTTTACGATAAATTCACTGGTCGAACAGAGTGGGTTTCATCTTGGATAAAAACCAGGCTAAATCATACTAAAAAATTACAAACTTACAATTTTGCTCTTGTTTTTGCCCAAAAGCAAAATATGGGTTAATTTTTTTTCAAAGAGTTGTATTTCTATACCTATTTTTACCTGAACTTTAGATCACAGGTGAAATCTACCCTGTTCGACCAGTAAAATAATCTTTTATTTCGTTGTCCAATGATGTTTGTTTTTCTTGTGTAATAAGTGACTTAAAAATGACCTTGTGCATTCTGACAATTTTGAAACTAATATCGAAAAATAATTACGTAATAGTTACATTCTAATTGTAATATAAGTAGATTTAAAAGTGAATCTAAAATAATTTATATAAAGCTTATAAATTTTGAGTTTATTATAAATTATTTGAATTGTTCAAAATATATTTGTTCAATATATATATACAGTGACAATCAGAAATAATGCAATAATATCAAAATTTATTAATTAAACATAGTAAAGTACAGGTTTTTCTCTTTATATAAAAGTTTTCAATTTTACTAATAAATATTTTTTATTTTTACATTAAAATGAAGATAATAT